TATATATATATATATATATATATATGCCCACATGCACAAATCTGCACCCAAAAGACAGTACTTCCCAGCCAGGTTCATCCCCTTTGTTCATCCTTATACTTTTGAATAATAACCATTTTGAGTTCTTTCTTAAAATACCTCATGCTTGTATTTTGCTTCAGCTTTTTAGCGACTTTATTCCAGATCTTCACACCAATGACAGAAATGCACATTTTTTTCTTTRTTGTTTTAGACTTCGAAGTTCTAAAGTTGAGGTTTTCTCTATAATCATATCCACCCACTCTATCAGAAAATAATTTTTGAATATTTTCTGGTAATATTTTGTTTCTGACTTTATACGTGAATTGTGCAGTTTGAAACTCTACCAAATCAGTGAATTTCAGTAAGTAATAATCTATAAATAAATTGTGGGTATGACAATAAAAATCTGCCTTGTGAACTAAACGAATGGCTCTTTTCTGTAAAGTGCATAATGGTTGAAGTGAAGTTCTGTAAGTGTTGCCCCAAACTTCCACACAGTAACTTAGATATGGTAAGATAAGTGAACAGTACAAAATATATAGTGCAAAGGAGTTTAGAAATTTTCTAGCATTGAAAAGAACTGCAATACTTCTTGCTATTTTAGATTGAACATATTTTATATGAGGTTTCCAACAGATCTTATTTTGAATCAATACTCCCAAAAACTGGATTTCAGTCACTTTCTCCACAATCACATTATCAATTCTTATTTGTAAATCACTTTGCCMGTTACAATTTCCAAATAACATAAACTTTGTTTTTTCTAAGTTTAATGACAGTTTGTTGACGTCAAACCACACTTTCAGTTTACATAACTCTAAATTCATTTCAAGCAAAAGCTGCCATAAATTTTCACCCGTACAAAAAATGTTTGTGTCGTCAGCAAATAATACAAAATTAAGTATCTTGGAGACCTTACATGTATCATTTATGTATAAAATAAACAATTTGGGTTCTAAATMAGAGCCCTGGGGAACACCACAGACAATGTCCAAGCATGAGGACTGGAAATCACCCAACTTCACAAATTGTTGCCTGTTGCTGAGATAAATTTTTATCCAGAGCAAGACTTCTCCTCTTAGACCATAGCACTCAAGTTTCTTGATGAGCATTTCATGATCAATCATGTCAAATGCTTTCTTTAAGACAATAAATACCCAAACAGCATGTTTCTTTTTATCTAATGCACTGGTCACCTCTTCTATTAAATGAAGAGCAGCCATCGCTGTTGATTTTTGTGGCCTAAATCCATACTGACTTTCATTAAGTAATTGATGTTTACTAATAAATTTTTCTAATCTAACAACAAATATTTTTTCTAAAATTTTGGAGAATTGCGAAAGTAAAGAAACATGCCTGTAATTTGTGAAATCATGCCTATTCCCAGATTTATGTAGTGGGAGGACTTTTGCAATTTTCATTTTTTTTTGTGGAAATATTTCTGTTAGAATTGACAGGTTACAGATATATGTTAGCGGCTGAATAATTTACAGAATCACCTTCTTAATTATTATCATGTCAATATTGTCATATTCAGTTGACCTTTTATTTTCACATTTATTTACTATATCTATTACCTCATTTTCCTCCACTGCTGTAAGAAACATGGAATCTGGATTTCTACTAACTAATATGTCGTTTGGTATTTCATGTCCTGTGGGCTGTAGGATTCCTTCAGCCAATTTAGGGCCCACACTCACAATATTCTTAAAATAGCAGTTAGTTTGTTCTTATATTTCTTGTATTTATTTTCTGCTTCAATTGATCTATGCCTTATGAAGTCTCTTTATAACTTGTTCTTTATTTACAGGAATTTTGCAGTCCCTTTGTAATCCATGGAGTTTCTGAATATTTATTTGTAATTGTCTAACATGTKCTCCCCCATACCTCAACTCAATAAACCAAGTGTGGAACAATTAATGTGTTAAATAACACATACAGAGCTTCATCATTCAACAAGCCACCTCCATCCCGGAGTTTGTGGCAATAGTCGATTATRCTAAAGACAAGGGCCTCCCGGTACTCACTGGTTGTGATGCCATTTCCCATCATGTGTGCTGGGGGAGCTCTGATATTAACCCTAGAGGCAGATCTCTGTTATTTAGAATACTTGCTGACAGAAGACCTGCTAGTCTTGAATCAGGGCAATGTACCTACCTTCCAAACTGTTAATAGGGAGGAGGTCACTGATTTAACAGTCGGGTCTATGGACCTGGTAAATAAAGTATGTTACTGGGAAGTATCCCCAGAGGAAACCATGTCAGACCATCGACGAATTCAGTTTAAGCTGAAGATGGGGAAACCACACCCAGCCACTTACAGAAACCCCCCCCCCAAAAAAACACTGACTGGAATCTGTTTATCAGCAGTTTATCCCAGTTGATGGGTGTGAGAATTGCCAGGATCAAAGTCATGATTGTGATATGAGACCTCTTTGCACTACTTAGGCCACTGCCTTGCTCTGAGTGGTCAAAGGAAAAGAATTCTTRGGGACCCCTTCATGGATCCTGAGAAGCTCAGAACATTGAGTGTTTCTAACCTTGTGTCCTTCATCTGAGGGACGAGAAGGTTTGAATGAAGACCAGTGTCTTTTTGGGGAGAGCAATGGGCCCACTTAGGAGACCTTTGCTCATATGGCTTTTATATCCATCCCCACTCACCATAACCATAACCATATTCCCTTTAGGTTATAACAGCTCTCTCTCTTAATAAAGTTTATCTGGATGTTTAAAGGTAATGCCTTTTGGTGAGCCTTAAAATGTTATAATCAATCAAATCATAAAATTTCAACAATTTCAATTTACAAAATAATATATTAGATGGATAATGGTAATGTTCGAGTAATAACTCTTATAGCACTTTTCTGCAATACAAAAACAGGATTTGTAATTGTCTTACACGCTCTCTCCCATATCTCAACACAATAAACCAATTAATGTGTTAAATAACACATTCAGAGCTTTATCATTAAACAAGTCCCTTACTTTGTAAAACAATGCAATATATTTAGCTATTTTAATTTCTAAATAATTTATATGAGGTTTCCATGTCAGTTTCTCATCAATAATAACACCCAAAAAACTTCACCTCACTGAGTCTATGATTCTCTACACCATCAACTCTAAATGGAATATTAGCAGTTCTTTGTCTATTTGTAAATATCATTTCCAGATTTAACAATAATTTGTTAAGTTTAAAACAATTTTGTATTTTCACAAATTCTATCTGCATCATCGATAACATTCGTTCTATATTTGTGTGCATGCTTGAATATAAGTATGTGTGTATGTGTACATACATGTGCATGCATTAATATATATAGCTGAAAATTACAGAGTAAAAACAAGAAACTGTCCAGAAGTCCTACTAAACTTTTTTTTATACCTGGATTGAGATGCATCAGAACATAATATAACAGAATATAAAATATTAGAAACATACAAAAAAATCTGAACTGAATAAAGCTGGGAAACAAAGAAAGGAAACTTCATTAATCTTAGTCCTCACTGTTAACATTTATATACTATAATTTTCAGGTGTAGGAAAATTTGAGTGTGAGCCAGCCTAATGCAAACAGCAGTCAGAAGACAAATTATTCAACAGCTCTGTTCCTGAAACTAGCTGGTGGAGCCGTCTGTGTTGTGATAAAYGGTGACATTGCTTAAAATGAATCAACTGGCAAAAGAAGCATAGGAAGCACAAACGGCACTTAATGTGATCAAGCTGTTTTTGTTAGAGATATTAGAGATGAAACACGTTACCCTCAGTGATCCACGGTAAGAAGGAAGGACAGGGGACTGACACATTCCCAGGAGATGAATGGGGCCAGCAGACAAACATGTCAAAAGTTCCTTTACAGTAGTTTCCTGAAGAAAAGGTTTCARAGTTGGACATGGTACTTAATATTACAAATACTGTAGCTAACATGTGAAYAGCCGCTCACCATTTTTTGGAATAGCAGTTGCCGTCAGGGTGCGATTGCAGTTCTCCCAGTACTCACTCCGCTTAGAGATGAGACTCTCAAGCAATGATCCGGTTGCCTATGGATTCACATAAAAGGGAAATTTGCTTCGTTATTACACATGTAATTTGAGAGCACGGCAGCTCAGTGGTTAGCACTGTTACATCAAGGCAAGAASGTCCAACGTTCGATTCCCAGTCTGGACCTGGGGTCTTTCTGTGTGGATTTTGCATGTTTTCCTTGTGTTCACATGGGTTTTCTCTGGCTACTACAGTTTCCTCCTTCAGTCTAAAAACAAGCATGTTTAAGTTGCCTTCAAGACCAGGCCTCCCTTGCAAAAGAGATCTGTGATCTTAGGGATTTGCCCGGTTAATTTAAATTAAAAAAAATAAACATTTGAGTAGCTTAAACTGCAAGTCTAGTTGTTAAGTTCTGTTTTTCTGATGATGCAAAATATGAAATAGTATCCATGTCTGGGCTATGTATTTACCTAATGAACAGGTAAGTTAATGGAAAAATCTATTAAAAACAATTCGATTTTTTAAAACTATGTTCTTTCTAAGCCAGGCCAAACTGTGCATGCACCACTGCAGATGAAGCAATACAGAGAATTCTGTTTTATGTGCAGAAATGGCCCAGATTAAACTCTCTCTCTCTCTCTCTCTCTCTCTCTCTCTCTCTCTCTCTCTCTCTCTC